AACTGATCTACTCACCAGTCCACCTTCTCAGCCTCGTTGTGTTTATACAAACTGTTACTGACTTTGTAAGAGGAAAGGCTTTTGTAGAAGGTGAGAGCTAAAAGTTTAGTGGTGGTGATGTTGAAGTCATGTGACCGTGGTGTAGTTGGTTTATGGTCTAACAATAGCTTTTTACTTCTGCTGATTGTAATTAGGCTTCAAACACCATGAAGTGGTGTTCATTAGTGAAGATGATCCTGCTGAACTAAACCTGTCAGTGTCATAAACTCTTGTTTATTTCCTGTAATATTCCCCAAAAGACAATGGAAAAATCCCACTGGATTTACTTTATGGAGGGAACCAGTGTGATGATAACTTCAGGGTTGATATACAATATATATATATATATATACATATATACAGTATATATATATTATATATATATATATAATATATATATAAAAAATATAATATAACTCATCTGAATAGAAAACAACAGCAGTGGAGCAAATGAACTACAGTGTACTACATGGATGATTTTTAGCTGCAGAGCCAGGCCCCCATCAGAACATGGTGTATCTGTTTATACGTCTCCGGGGGCCAAAGAAGCAAAACAGATACCACATGAATCAAAATAAAATATTCTTTTAATAGCTCACTGAGCCAAGATGACAGCAAAGTCGATCCCATCTGTTTCCAAGTTTCCATTATTGTGCAACTCCCCTGGCAAAGACCACCTCAGACAATGGTCCAGAGAACTTGAGGATGTTAACCATCACACATAGCAAGAACATGACTAACACCAACAACTTGTTATGATGGAGAATACTGTTGAGATTTAATGAAGTCAGCTTCTAGGTTTTTTTTCTGGAATATTAACAATATATCGAGCTCACTGGGCTTGTTACAACTGCAAGTGTTGATAGTTGGAATTAGAAAGAGAAATCACACACACACACACACACACACACACTCTGACACATCCTACACATGACTCTAGCTCTTGGGAATCAATTTAGGACTAACAGGCACTTAATCTAGATCCTGAACACTTCCCGTAACACCTATGATCTCAGTTAGACAGTTATGATACACAGACAAAAAATGTCCGATTGTTTCAGATTCACTGATTCACCACAGAGTACTGATGTAATGTTGGACCACTCCTTCCCATCCACCAGCTGTTACCGTAAATTACATCAGTCAGTAGTCAGTAACATTTAATAGTCTGTGAAATACTAATTTATGCATATTAAGTGTGGCTGTAAGTGATAGTACTTGGATTTTTTGTTGAATTTTGTTCCTGCTGCTATGGATTGTGTATTTCTTCATCCTCATGGCGTAGATGTAAGCCGTAAGTCTGTGAGACTGGAATATATATAGGATGTATTTAATGGCTTTTGTGCACAGAAACTGAATTAAAGAAGAGAGTTCACTGTTTGTATTTAGGAGGGCAGAGAGAGTTCAAATGAGACTTGGGTAAAATAATGAGGTAGTAAAAATTCCATGTTTTGTATTGTCTGTGTATCCACAGCTTAAAGGTCCCATACTTTATTCACATCTCCTCTCTCAGGCTTCTCTCTTGAGCTCTAGTAACGACAGGTCAGTTGAGCCAATCAGAAGAGAGGAGGCTCTGAGCTTCTTTCTTCTGATTGGCTCACTGTTTTTTGAGTGATACAATAAAAATATAGTAGATGTCAGGTAAACACATCAGTGAACCAAATCCTGCAAGGTTGGATGGTGGGTCCAGGTGTGCAGGGCTTGGGGCATGGGGGATGCCTGAGAGCGACGCTTTGTTGTGACATCACAAAGTTACAGAAGTCCTGACGGCTCATTTTAAGGCTAGGTTTCTGAATCCAGGCTGTGTGCATTTCTCTGTGGACTGAGCGCTTTGATACTTTCACAGTATTAATATAGAACCTAGACCTGCTTTATAATCAAAGAACACATGGACATCTACCTTTAGACTATATGGGACCTTTAATATATCACGCTGTTCTGAGCCATAGGGCTCCATTGTTTCCAAAAATTAAAAACACACCAGTGAGACACATTCTTGTACTGAGTAACATGTTCCTTCATCACCATGAACACACACTGTAGTTTAGACTCAGTCCCACACACACTGTCCTGATGCCACAAACACTCACACCAGCACCAAATGTGGAATGAGCCACAGAATTTTAAAAAAAAGTCCCCCAAAAAGTACAATTTCCTCCTTGTTTTTTAGATGTTTTTAAACCCTTAAAAAAAGTAACTATGTACAGTATTTGTGAGCTGTTTTAAAGAAACCAAAACTATTTGAACGATGGACTAATGCAATGTTAGTTTGGGTCGTTTGGCTTTGTCAACAATAAGAAAAATTTAGATGTGAAAATTATTGTTGTTGGTCCCAAAACTGTCCATTGTAACTGTCCATCAGATTTTGAGTTAAATTCAGCCACAAGTTTCTGATTTTTATGTATCACACTTACTGCAGTTAGTCACACAAACTGGATCTGGATCCAGGATCAACATGATGGCTGTTACTGCCAAGGAATTGAAGGAAGTGTTTAAGATAATGGAGGTTACTCTGGATTTCTTTAGAAACCAGAATTACGTGCCGGTGGGTCATTTTGTATATTATTCAAACTCATTTTGCATTCTGTGGAGCAGAAAATGTTAAACCCACACAACTTTATTTTAAATTTCAGTGGCCATCCCAATATTCAGAAATGACAACAAATTTGACTAAAATTATGGGAAATGTGTCTAAAATGATGCACAAGACAACTAAAACATTTCTATTTGATGGAATGAGGTTTGGATTATTCACTGCAATGATCATATAGCTTCAAGAGAAGAGCTTTAATGAGCTGCTAATGCTGCCAGTGTGTGATAATTACAGCTATTGAAGACAAAAATTAAAGGGGAAAACTGGATGTTAAGGATTTAATCTGTCTGATGATGTTTTGTTGCCGATGCCCTGTGGGAAGTGTTGTAAAGCTAAAGTTCTTACGACCTCAGATAGCAATAAGTGTGGTGGGTCTCATAACCAATGCATGGTCCTAGCTACACAAGGTAACACTTTCCAAAAAGGTGCACTTCAGATTGCATAAGACACAAATGAGGAACTAACTGCAAATTCATGAACTGGTAGTAGTTAGTGAAAATGTCACACAGAAGAATCACATAGAAGAATTTCACTGTAGATAACAATAATGTACTTGGGAACCCACAGTTGGACACTATTTTAATGCAAAAATTAGACCCAGGTTGTGAACCCCAGAAAATCCCTTTAAATTCCTACTTATTAAAAAAGGATTCATATTTTAGACATGAAGCCAAAATCTGTTTATTTGTAGTTCCAGGCTGTAAAATATATTCTACTACGGCTGTCATGTGGGACCCAAAAACAAACAGAGCTCTGATGCACTGGGCCCTGACCTTTGGCTGAAAGAGCTGGACTCCAGAGGACTTGTGAGGAAAGGGGTCGACAGAGACTGTGAGACTCTAGAGAGTGTGTGGCTCAGTTCCAGTGTTGGTAGGGAGCAGCATGTCCAGACCTGCTGCTGCGTCATATGAGCGGACAGACAGGCTCAAGCCTTATCATCTCTCTGTCACTGGGCTCTGTTTCTGTGCTGCCATTAAAACACAGCTGAGCACATGCTTTGAGATAAATAAGTAAAGGTTTCATTACATTAATGTCCACTAGCATCATAAACTAGCAAAACCAGTGAAGCAGTGGAGACTCTCTAGAAGTCCTATTGTCTGTCCATTCCTCCATTATTTATATCCCTTTAAGGGTCCACAGATCACAAAAATCAAAGGGTTTTTTCATAAAAGAAGTTATGAATATGGTCATGAGAATTCTATTGCAGACCATAGAGCGACTTCGTTTGCTGCACATCTCTCCATATTTCATCTATTTCTCACCTTCCAGCTGCTTGTCAGCAGGTTTGCTTCTTTTCCTTACCTTAGTGGCTATAAAATGGCGGTCTCCCTGCAAAGATCCATTCAGATTTCACTTGAGGAGGCCTGCGTAAAGACATGAACTAAAGTACTTTAGTTTGGGTTTCAGTCCCATGCTAAAGAAGCACATTTTCAGACACTAGAAGATGTGACCTTTCAAAAGATGTCTCATAAATGCATTTTTACTGTTCTTCTCTTATACACTTTTTAATTTGATTACGCAAATTTATTTTAATTATATTACAAGTATCTTTTTTAAACAAGCATTTAGCTCAATGCACCAGCTGTGCCTCACAGAGCTGTAGCTTGTAAGCAGCAGCTTGGCAGAAGCTCCCTCTAGCTTGATGAAACCCATACACAAATGTTATATATGTACATATACTGGATTTCCATATATGAAATACATGTACATTTAAAATAAAAACATATGTGTAAAAGATTATATAAAACCTATTACAAATTGGAACAATTTCATATATTGACATATACAGTATGTCTATCCCATACAAATGTGTATGCTTATATTGTAGATGTATGTAAATATATATCCATCTAAAACCTGTCAAAATATGTCAATGTCAATATATACAATATGCCTAGGTAACAAATGAATGAGAAAAAAATATATAAGCATATAAAATGTGTATACTTATGTTGTTATAATAAACGTCATATATAAATATATATTCTAAATTTTGTCATTTTTATATATTTCGAATGAGATTATTCTCACATGTTTTCTTAAACTGCCTGACTCTGTTACAGTAAGTTTATACCTCCAGTGAAAATCAGTGGAGGTGCTGGAAGCCGCCTGGCAACATTTCATGGCCCTGAGTTTATGTAACTGTATACAGAGCTGTTTACTGTTCCGATTTCCACTATTTGGATAGGTAATTACACACACACACACACACACACGCACGCACGCACGCACGCAGGCAGGCACGCACGCACGCACACACGCACACAGGGGAGGGAAAGAGAGAGAGAGAGTCCTCCCTCCCCTCCCTCCCTCCTCCAGTTTCCTGTCATACACAGTGTGTGTGTATGGATGGTTCAGCAGTCAGTCTCCAGCTGCTGAGCGGAGTGGAGCGGCACAGAGGACACACCAGACCCGTTCCTCCTCTGGACTCTCTTTAACTTTACCTTTAATGTGAATGACAGTGTTCGGACACAGGAACATGGAGGAACAGCGCTGGTCTTTAACTTTACGGGGAGCTCTATCTGTCTTCTTCTTCACTCTGCTGCTGGAGACCGGGAATGCCGGTGAGTTGCGCATATCCTAAACTTTATCAGCGCCGTCTTCACTGCCACGACCTCACTACTGTCCTCACTAATGTCAGTGCATTAGAACCAGACTCAGACTCTGTAGTTTTACTGGACTTAGGGAGCATTACCTCCAGCGCGTTACGCAGGGGTCTCCGGAGAGAGAGAGGACAGCCGGGCGCAACAGGTGACTCATACTGCGGACTGATACACGGCTCAGCGTCGCTCCTCACTGCTGGCTGCTCTGACATCTGCGCACTGTAGCGCCTGGTTCGAACAGCACATGTGTGTTTCCACGTAGAGATTAGAAAGATTTTTCCACTATGAGATAAACTTTCACTGCAGAAAAAAGACTTTCCGCAGTCATGGACTTATTAAACTACTGCCAAGGTATTTAGTCTGACGGTAACAGTGAGTTTGTCTAACTTTCACATCCTCACATTTGGGTTTCATGTGTTCTCCTGCAGCTCCTGTCTCTTAACCTCTGAGCTGGTGATGTCATCAGGGGTTCTTAACAGAAAACCGGTGTGATTATGTACTAGGGGCAAGGATGATGAAAGATCTGGGCATTTATCTGACTGGGTTTATAATGAAAAATACTCTTGAGTTGCATGATGGGACTTGTAGGATGTGATGTAAACTAAAAGTCAAAGTATGTCAGCTTTTCTTAAGATATCTCTTTTGAGTTTTCTAACTTCATCAAAGTGCAGGAATAAGTCTCAGTATCATACAGTGCTGTTTATATTTGGCTTGTCCCAGGTATCGAACCTACATGAGGTTTCCACTGAGTGAAAGACTTTTTTATGGCGGTGTTGCATCTCTTTCACACACTTCCCAAATATTCAGCCACACATATCTGGTATCTCTGGAAACACTTAGATCTCCACTAGAGTTTAAAATGCAGCTCAGCAGGTTTAAACAGTGTACTGATTAGTTCCTACGTGATCGTAGTGTTTTAGGGATGATGTGTCTGAGCCTTTCCCTCCATGTGTGAACAGTGGCAGTATAACAGACTTGGCCACTTTCCATGTGACAAACTGTGACACCAGTAAACCACAGAAACCTCCCCACGCTTGCTGACAGGTGGTAAGATTGAGCACAGCATTCAGATGAAAACAAGAAGTAAACTTTTTTGTTGTCCCTTCATCTCCTTTCCTTCTCCTTCTTCTTCTTCTGCCCCTCTCCCTGCTGTTTGTTCCTGCCCTCCTCCCACGGTGGGGCCTATTTTGAACCTGGAAGTCCCACATACCAGAAAGACTGTGTGGTCGTGCTGCATTGTATGTGTCACAAATAGACACACACACACACACACACCGACACTCATGTAAGCACAAAAAGACATATAAGCTTCCACCCACATGACACCCCCCCCCCCCCCCCAACCAGTGCACATTAACACACACACACACACACACACAAACTTCTTGCAGTTGACTGGAGGAAGCAGCTCACCACTCTCCCAGTGCCAGAGCAGCTTGATATGTCGGTTACACAAACAGCAGAGCTGGACTCTTGTTTTTATCTATTCTGTCTCTGTTTGCTTTGAATTGATGTCGGCACCATCCGCTGGTCGGCCCGTCACAGGAAGGTTCCTTCATCCTTCCTTTTTTTCCAGGGAATCTTCATCGTGTCAGGGCAGAGGCCGCCGCGAGCTCGTGCACTTCCTGATCCTCGTGCCGAGCCAAGAGTGTGTCGAAACAAAAACTATTTTAAAGATGACAAACAGAAGTCAGGGGTCAGAGGGAGAACAGTAGGACGACTTTATCACTGACACAGAGACTTTGTCATATTTCTCTGTGTTGATGGGCCCTTCTTAAGGAGTAGTGTGTGTGTGTGTGTGTGTGTGTGTGTGTGTGTGTATGTGTGTGTGTGTGTGTGTGTGTGTGTGTGTGTCCTGCAAAGTCCTGATTCCTACTGTGTTTACACTTACTTTAGTGGGCTGCAGAGAAGAGAAGGGGGTCACTCACTTTAACCCCTCTACAGTGTTCCCCTTTGATTTTTCACCATATTAGTCGACTTCCCCTCCTCTCAGATCGCTTCGCTGAGTCTCCGGATCAGAGAGAAGAAGGAGGGATGGAGGTGGTGGCAGAGAGAGGGAACCTGAGAAAGGCTAAAGGAGGGAGATAAAGACGAGAGGCATGAGAGGATTACGGTCAAGATGGTGGATTAAGACGGAGTTAGAGAAGTGGGAGGATAACTTTCAGGAGCAGAGAGCGAGCCGAGCCTCCTGCTGGGCCAGTTATGTGGCCCTGTGCTGCCTCTCGCCAGTTGTCTCCCCTCATTTTAATGAGCAGAGAGAAGCATCATTCCAGAAACGTGTCATCTATCTGTTTGGGAGGTTTAATGCTTTTTAAACCATCCTACTTTAAACATGCAGACACACCTGGAAAGACAGTTTAAGATCCTTTGGAAAACTTGGTATCAGATCTATAGTTTTTTTTTCATGTGTACCTGGGGTGTAGATTTTTCATTTTTTCCATCCACATCTGAGCAGTTTGGAGCAGTCCTTCCTGTATGTTGGTGATAAATTGGAGTCAGGTTTCCTGTTTGTCCCCCCCCCCCCTGTCCACTGTGAGCTCACATCCTCAGAGGTTTGGAAAGAAGAGGGAAAGGAAAAGAGAGGAGGAGCTCCAGAAAAATAAGTATGCATTGGAATTAGCATTATTTGTAAGCAGATTTATTGTTATTTCGATCAGGTTAGAGGACGCCATGATGGATCATTTTCAAATATTTAAAATGCTTAAGCGCCTGAGGCTGAGATCCACCAATATCCAAAGAATAGTTTGACATTTTGAGAAAATAAACTGCGTTAGATAAGAGCTTTGATTCCACTCTCATGTCTGTACATTCAGTAAATGGTAATCTTACCTTATGTTGGCTTTGTCATTTCAGAAAACAGCTTTGTTTTGTTATTTAGAGGATTTGATTGGAGCATGATTTATCTTAATCTGAGTGTGATCCACTGGTCTGCGTGTCAGACGGGAGCAGGTCACAGTAGCATGATTTCCCTCCTGCTGTAACAGGAGGAGAAGGAGAAATCTCACATTTCAGTTATGGCCCCTTCAGGAGCCGTCAGGAGAACGGTTAATGACAGTCCACACGTTCCTCCTCCACCTTCCTGTGACGCACTCAGGTCACTTGTGTTTTCACAGTGTAATTCCTGCACACGGACCAGGGTCAGGAAACAGTGCAGCAGCAATAAAAGAGCAAGTCAAAGTGCTTTAGCAGCTGGTACAATGGCCCACATACTGTACCACCATAGACCTTCATGCACAGTTTGACTTTCTGCACTGGACCTTCAGACTAACGCTGCAACCTCTGACTAAGACAGCTATCTTATTTTATCATGAGGGTATTTGCAGTGTTTCTCTTTTCTCCTCTTTCTTCCCTTTTGTAAAACATGTTCTGAAACACATACAGAACAGCTGACGTGCTAATTACTGTCATTCATATGGAGCCTGAAAAGTCTGAATTCTGGCTCTGAAAACAGTAAATATATTAAAGGAATGTCTTTATGAATGTAAACTTTCAAGAGAAAAAAGAATAGTTTGAGGAATATAACATCAACCAATAAAAAGACAGACAGTTTATCTGTCTGAGAATAGACTCAATTTCTTCACAATCTTTTCAATGTCCTGATGGTGATGATGATGATGATGATGATGATGATGATGATGATGATGATGATGATGATGATGATGATGATGATACCAAAAGATGAAGTATCTCTGTATTTCTCACAGGATGCTCCACGTTCCTTCCATCCTCATTTCTGAAACTACAGTGAAAGGTGTCAGTTTATGAAATGTTCCTGGTATGATGTCAATACGACTATCAACAGACGTTGTAACTGTCAGTTTTTGCTGAGAGCGGTGCATCACAGGTGTGAACACCCTGCGGGTCTCAGTGAGGCTGTGTGGCTGCTCTAACCTGTTAACATGGGCACAGGTTTTATTAGTGGTTGTGTGGTTGTTTTAGTGCTTTGCTAATTCACACTCTTATGAAAGTGTGTTACAGTAGCTGTGCTTTGTGTTAAATGAATAAGCCAGCACACACACACACACACACACACACACACACACACACACTCATATAAACACACCCCACAGGAGGGAGTTCTTCATATATAGGGAGGATAATGAGACTTCATGTGTGTTAAAGCTGAAGTCCTCCTCTAGTCGGGGTCTACAGTTCAGGTCTGCAGACATGCTGCCCTGTCAGCTGATTTAACGATAGCACAGACTGCACTGCATGCAGTTATTTTGTCTACATCTTGGATTTCAGACATGTGAAGGCTGTTGTTGTTGTTGTTGTTTGCAAGAGAGCGACTCCTTTGATCACGGTGAAGTTGGTATCTGTCACATCAGACATCCTTAGTGCGGACGCTACCTCCATCTCTGAGCCAGATGTTTATCCGAACTGTTTATAATGAAGAGTTCGACAGAGGATAATAAGTAAAGGGGTCATCTGAGATGCTTCAGTCAGTGGAAGTCATCAGCTGCTTCATTTATGCTTCACAAGTTGTGTTCAGCAGGGATCAGTCCGTCGTTAATTCTTTTTTTTTTTTAACAAATCAAGTGATTGAAATTATAATGATGTCTAATTCCATTGATCACAGTGCCGCTCATGTTAGCATAAGTTCCTAACTACAATACTAGAAACTGTATTATAGAAACATTTCACTTACTGTCAGGCTCCAGTTGTCATAGAAACAGTGAAGATATTGAGATCAGATGAAGCAGTCTAAATACAAACCACCCTGACATTCTTGATAAAATCCAGCCCTACAACATATCACGTTACAAACACCATGTCCCACAAGGCCAGTGGCACCAGCTGGAAGGAGCAGCGGTGTCCTGGTAAAACTAAATGGACCTGTCATTTTTTAAAGCTCTCCTCCTGTGTTTAATTCAACCGTTAATCCATAAGAAGATATATTTGTGGTTTTAAGAACCAAAAACCATCTCAGTGTAGTTTTACATCAGGTCAGTGAGCCAATCAGAAGAGAGGAGGCTCTGAGCTTCTCTTCTGATTGGCCAACTGTTTTTTCAGTGACCCAATAAAAATATAGCAGATTTCAGGTAAACACTCAGAGAAACCAAATTCTGCAAGGTCCAAGTGGGCGGGCCTTGGGGCATGGCTGAGGGCGGTGACTGCTTTGTTGTGACATCACAAAGTTACAGAAGTCCTCACGGCTGGTTTTAAGGCTCAGTTTCTGGATGCAGGCTGTGTGCATTTCTCTGTGGACTGAACGCTTTGATACTTTCACAGTATTAATATAGAACCTAGACCTGCTTTATAATCAAACTACACATGGACAGAGACCTTTAGACTATATGGACCTTTAAAGCTAACCAGGTTAATTACCATGAGCCAATGACAAAGAGTTAAAATGATAGTAACTGCTGCTGTGGTAACTGCTCTACTTTATGTAAACCTTAAGAACACATTTGACTTCTTCAGAAAGAATGAAGACAGAAACTCTCAGTGAATTATTGCACTGAGCTAAAGAAGCTAACAGCTGCTAGCCCGGGTGCTGTCAGGACTTGATCCAGAACCTGTCCATGACATCCAGCCCCACCAGGGGCAGACGCTTGGCGACATGGAGGCTTAAACTCAGACCTCCCAGCAGAAGCCACCCTGCTGCACCACAACACCTGAACAGTGTACAAAGAGCACACATCCCACCCAGCCAGTCAGGATTATTTGGACACAAAGGCCATATGGAGAAACCTTCACTCCCTTTCTAGATTCAGAGAAATGTGGTGTAAAAAGTAATTGTTAAGCCCTGTAAACTTCAGACTTACACAGGCTAACATGGTTAACTGGGTTTTTTCTTTTTTTTCACACAGCCTCTCCTAAGCTTGCAAGCAGTGGGCTTGGAGCACAAGAGGCAGGTCTGAACAGGTCACAGTGCAGAGGGAGATCAGAGAGGTTTAGGCAGCTCGAGTCATGCAAAGGAGAAAGACAAGGATAAGATTTTACTGATTATGCAGCTAGCCCAGGCAGCACGCGACAGACTGTACTGCATGCTATACCCTCCAGCCTGCTAGAGTGATGATAACAAACAATGTAAGTGTATACCAAGGCTGATTACTCCTTTATTATAAAGCAGAAGTGAAGACAGAAATGGGTGTAAACAGCTGTTTCTCAAGCAGGATAATGAATTTTTATTTCAACTATAACCTGTCATCGCCTTATAATGTTCATAATGAGCCACATTAGTCATGTTACTCGTGTTTTTAGATTTGATTTCACATTTCACCGATTTGTCCATTCATCTCTTACTTCCAGGATATCTCCAGCATTCACATCAGGTCAGATCTTTCAGGAAATCCTTGTTGCAGTCATTTCAGAGACTCCATGAGGTTTTGGTTTATGTGTCTAAAGTGGTTTGATCTAAGAAATGGTTGTAGCTTGGCACAAGCTGCCTATTGATTCAGCTGCGGCTGCCTGTCTCAGTGGTTTAGTGTGGTCTTGGACTATTTTTGTATGACTTGATGGTTTCCTCAGGTCCCATCCAGCACATATGAGGTGGCTGATCCAGGCACATGCTGCGAAGCCTGGTGGAGGTGATGCCCAGGTTGTGGTTGTCTGTGTTGACGGCCGTTTATGGTCCCGACCTGGAAGCTGATTCTTTTCGTGCGGTTCCAAGCTGCTGTGTGTTGTACAGTGTGTAGTTTACACGGTCATACATGCCTGCTCTAATGTGTCACTTCAGTTATTTGCAAGAAGAATTCACTGATTTGTTGAACAAGTTGCACGTAGCTGCAAACCAGTTAGGAGCTACAGCTTGGATCCCATTGCAAAAACTTAGATTTGACTCTTGATTTGGACTCGTTTCAAAGACTCAATCCATTAAGACTTAAGACACTCTCTAAGAACTCAAAACAGCCTCCTAAAACCTGAGGGTTTTCTGAAAAACTTCACTACTTCACTAAAACCTTTATCACTCAGTCTGTGAAGCAGATAGAGACATTAAATAAAAAACATTTCAGAGCTTAAACCTTTGACTTTTATTGTGAATCACTGGCTTTGCCTTAGAAACTGTATATGGCTGGAAAAAGAAGCGCATTTATTAGAATTCTCAGTTCAAACAACATGTTTGAAACATTTAAGGTCTCAAATGGTTTTCATTTCATGCCGCTATCTGCTCCAGAGGCTGAGAAATAAAGGTTTTAGTGACAGCGCTGCATCAGGTGAATCTTTACCTTTGCTTAGCATAGATACTGGCTCACTGATCTTCCTCCTCCTCCTCCTCCTCCTCCTCCTCCTTCTCCTCCTCCGACATGCCTCTCGCCCTGAGCCTTGACTAGCTGGTTAGCAGATTAGCAGGTTGAAGTCAGTGTCTGAATCTTCTAAATCATGTTTTTATCCAGGTAACTGCTGTAATCTGCTTCAACATCACTCCCCTTGCTCAGGTCATCAGCCATTCACCGAACTGCAACTTTAAAAACTTTTCTGTGGCTATTTCCCATGATGTATTTCACCTTCCTGACACGAATTTCAGCGAATCAAAATGGATATTATCAGTCACATGTCTTAAAATTGACATAAACATATACTATGCTTAAACGTCTCATCTGGTCTTCAAGGGATACAGCTGCACAAAGCAATTTAACAGTGGGTGAAATAGTAGTAGTATAATTACAGACAGATTGTGCTGCGGACCAGTGACCAATACTGGAATTTTTGTACTGTGACACACTGTTGATGTCTCAGCTCTCAATTCAGTCAGTGAATGTATTTCTGTTCCATTTTTTCTTCCTCAGGTCAGACTGAAGATTTCAGTACTTGAAACATGAAACCGACCTGATGGATATGCGCGTGTGTGTGTGTGTGTGTGTGTGTGTGTGTGTGTGTGTGTGTGTGTGTATGTGTGTGCACTCTGCAGGTATGCCAAACTTTTACCCTTTGAGGCAGCTGTGTAAGTTCTGTGATGTGGAGCTGTCCTCGTGCAGCGGCACAGGCACCTGCATGACCAACTGCTCCATCACATCCATCTGCATGGAGAGCAGTGAGGTCTGTGTCGCTATCTGGTAGGTACATACAAGCAGCTTCATCTCGTCAATGTGATTTACAAGACAACAGCTGCTCAGGCTACATTAATGATTACGTCTCTGTCTGTCTGTCGCAGGAGGAGGAACGAAACGGGCTTCTCTATAGAAACCCTCTGCCACAACCCATCCAAGCCGCTGTATGGTGTAATGCTAGATGACTACAACAGCTCCACCTGTGTGATGAAGGAGAAGAACACAACGAGTGGGATGGCTCACTTCTGCTCCTGCACCGACGAGGACGAGTGTAACAACAAGCTGTTATTCTCCCCCAGTGAGTTCACAAAACCAACTTCCTGTATGAGTTTAAAGCTGCACTATACAACCCGTTATTTTATTTAGGTAATTTTGAATGGATAAAATAGCTATTTTTGCCCATGAATACACACTCAATAACTCATACTGGCACAGTGAAAACATCCATACCATACCATTAGCCATAGCACTCATCCCTGAGGGCCGCGGGAGCCAATCCCAGCCGACATCGGGGCGAGAGACGGGATACATCCTGGACAGGTCGCTCGCCACAGGGCTGACACATAGACACGTAGAGATTTACACCAATCACACTCACTTTTATACCAATGACTGTCACCCATCAACCTGCACAAGGCAGCCAGAGTGTTCAGAGGAAACCCACACAGGGAGAACATGAAAAGGTTTGAATGTTCGAACCCGATCCTTCTTGCTGTGAGGCGACCGTGCTGACCACTGCACCACCGTGCAAGGGGAAATAGATACAATTGATAATCTTATACATTTTTATAAATTTCATAACAATCTAAACTTGAAATCTCTCTATTACAAAAGTGAAAACAGCAGACAGCCAAATTCAGAGAGCAGCTGGTGAACATAGTGGAGCACTGAGCAGCTAAAGAGCCAGATGTTTCTCTCAGGAGCCGGTGGAGACCAAAGCTGTGTCCCAATTCAGAGGCCGCATCCTTCAGAGGGAGGTTGCATTTAAAGACTGACTGTGTCACGGCGGCGCGACTAGACCGTCCCATTTACAAGGTTCCTTCAAATGCAGCTGAGAAATGCATTGTAACCTATCCCAAGATTCAATGCAAGCTGGTAATGAAAATAATATGGCAGCAAACAAAACGCCAACAGAGAGCCTGAGCATTACATTGTTAAATGTAAGTACTGGGTTTCAGCTCAGCTAATGGTACAACCGTTAACACCAAGAGCCTTAAAAAAAAAAAGTTGTCGTGTCTTGTCAAGGTTGCTAGGAGATAGGAGCCGTGCTTTGCAACGCAACAGTAAGGGTGGATACAGTTGGTGAAGCAAAGTGAGAGTGCTCTGTAGACCAGAACGCTTCATTTCAGTTCCACCTTCGCAGTCTACCACTTTTACGAAGGGCCACGCTTTCGTCCCTGAATTGGGACACAGCTGAAAACAGAGCTAAAAGAGAGGGAATACTGGACACAAACACCACTCCACATGAATACTAATGTTGCTCCATGTCTGCTTAATTTGTCGGTAGGTAAGTCTAAAAAAATCCATTAATACGGCTTTAAAGGATAACTTGATCACTTCATATTTATCTTTTTGTCAGTAAATCCCATGAAAAAATAAGAACACTGTGTTAGTCCATCCTCAATAGATTCCTGACCCATCTGCGGCCCCAAGACCTTTTGTTGGTTTTCATGGAATTTAACAACCATATGAATCATACAGAATTAATCTGATCTGCCTACACAGGTTAAACCCACATGCATGAAAACAACAGCACACTGGCATGTAAAAGCTGTTCTGACGTCTTTTTACACAGCTGGTTTTTCACATCTGGTCGACCAGTCATGAAATCATTATGTTATCTGCTCACTCAGCTGTACAATCTCTAATATTTGCAAAGAAGGACAATACAGCTGCTCTGCTTCCTCATATTTCAGCTGTAAATGAGTAATCATCAACTATCCACCGACTTGTTGGCTGCTGCTACTACTTTCTTTCACTTATCAATAAATTGTCACTCCTCTTTGTTATCGTTTTCTCGCTTCCTCCTCTGACTTTCTCTCTCCACACTTGCATGTAAAAGCTGTTCACATGCATTTGAGAAGTTGTGGGTGTTTCTTTTTTTTGTTGGGGGGGGGGTTTAGCTACTGTCTTGTGTAATGACTAAAGAATGCACATTCACATCACAAACAGGAAGTGGAAAGTCAGTGTTTGCGTCATGCGTAAACAGCGTTTGGGGGAATCCTCGGTTTGGTTAAAGACACTCAGCTGGTGTGCGTTTGGCTGCTGCCTCTCACAACGCTGAGAAGAAAAATTGGCTGTGTGTCTCAGCCTGTAAATGTGTATGAATGTGTGTGTATGTGCATGTGTGTGTGTGTGTGTGTGTGTGTGTGTGTGTGTGTGTGTGTGTGGCTGTGTAGGCCTGCCACGCTGGAGAGCTCAGACATATGGTTTCCTGTCTGTGTTTTACTCAAATCAGAAACATCTCCAGCACATGGTGAACAGGCCCCGAAGACACAGAACACCACAGTAGAGAGTGACAGTGAGGTAGAGTCAGTCTGCTGTTATGAGGTAGCTCTTTTATTCTCCTCCTTTGTTACAGTATCATTAAGGCAGAGCTGAGTCCTCCTCCTCCTCCTGCCCCACTAAACTGTGAGATTGTATCTGCTGTAGTGAAAATGATGTGGGAGGCCAAGTGTTGAAACAGACCATCCTTCTGCTGGATGAACCGTCAGGTGGTCATGTCTGCACAGTGACACCTCCCAGTTTGCATCAGAGTTCAAAGAGCAGATGACACATGCAAGCTTCATTATAAACTGAAGAGACAAAAAACAACTAGGAATCCTGGACCCTGAATCACCACCTACATGTTTGTTCAGTGATTCAAACAGGTCTGGACTTCAGCCCATTGATGGCTGTTTCAGAGAATTAGTCAACCAATCAGAGCTTTTGAGGGAGCTGCCTCACTAAACATGGATGAGATTACCACAGCCGCACTAACAGAAATAACAAACTCTTAGTGTGAAGTTAACGGCTCTTAGTAACCGCTGCCTCAGACTTTGTGTCCGTGAACAAGTTGGATTTTGACTGCTGGTCAGCAGGTGATACTGATGCACTCTGTTCTTCCACTTATTGATCTTTATAAGTATTAATTAGCATGAGACAACACCACTGCATAATAACAGTATAAAGTTATACTGTAGCAGGGAAGCCTTGGAACTAAAACCAAGTCCTAGGCCTGAAATAGCCATTTAAACACACACGTACACACGTACACACACACACACGTACACACACACACACACACACACATATATGTACATACACACACACGTACACACACACACACACACACACACACACATACATATGTATATACACACACACGTACACACACACACACACACACATATGTACACACACACACGTACACACATACACTCACACACACACACACACACGTACACACA